GTTTCATACTCTTTTATTATTATGAAATGGCAAGAGAGGTAAAAGATGATATTATGAAGCATAAAGTGGTGAGGCAGCTGAAATCTTAGCGGAAGTGCCAGACTTCTAAATGCCCGGCAAAAGCAATAGACAGTAAAAGCAGCGGAGTGACAGTTTGGTGAATCTGTTGCCGCAATAAACATTTTAGTTCAAAGAATACGAATCATGGCGTAATATTCACGCAGAGAAGATTTAGCGTCGTTCTGGGGCAAAATACTTTCTTAACGTTTGTTCGGAGGCAGCACAGTGACAGACTGCCAGGTGAAGCCATCGGTTAGAGTTTGGGACCATTACACTTGAAGATTTTGGAAAACACCTCTGGCATCGGCTTCGCTCAGTCCGGCCTGGAGAACACAAAGCGGCAGTGGAAGTGCTAGACAGCTGGGCAAGTGGAAGACTGAACCATTTGTGAAGGCAAACAAGGCATCTATCCTTATAAAAGGGGGGGTAAAACAAGGACTCCTCACTAACACAACTTATTCAGAAGCCACTTGCAATGTACAAGAGAGCCATACACAGGACTGGCGTCTATACTCTGCAGATTTCTGTATGTAAGAGGACTACTGGACACTTACACAGCTGTGCATGCTCTAGGACAAAGTACAGTAGCATTACATTCTGCATACACCGTATGATACTTAGCCCACCCAGATATTGAGATTTCTAGTTCTCAGCATTTGCTGCGGTCCATTAGATTGTGTGCGTGAACCATAGATCCCCAGTACCTATTGACCAAACACGCACACCCTGCCCTTGACCATATTGGCTTGATCAGGACACCTTTGTTTCTCTGTGAGATCTGAGGAATGTATAGTCCCTGGAAGCATCCCGGTTCTAAATTCAGGACATAGAAAGATCTCATGAAGGGTGAAGACATAGCCTCAGAATTCACACAGAAACCAAGATGAAGGCAGGTTTCTGTAATCCATTCCGAGGCCTTTTATATCAGCACTGACACCAAACCAGCAGTGAAGGATGGATGGAGAATACAGTGGTTTTCGTTTCAGTTTAATTTAGTAGCTTTCTCCCGTTCATTACCTGCTTTCTTACTCTTTGTAAGGCACACTGAACATTAAACATGTCGGTCTTGGAGACTTTGGGCCCAATTCCCTGGTACCCTGCACCTTTGTATAGCACTTACCCCAACGCCAAGTGGATATCAAGTGCTCAGAATGGCAGTGTCTGTCACTAGAGCTGCTGGGAAGCTTTCGAGTGGAATGTTTTTCCTTCGGAAAATGCTGTTTCATCCAAATCAAAATGTTTGTTGGGAACGTGTCAATTTTGACCATTTCATTTCAGAAACGAAATCATAATGGCGCATTCCGCTAAGGTCGGAATGTTCCATTTCACTCCTTCTGGAGCCGAATGTCCCGAGGTTCCATTTCAAAATGATTGTCCAATCGTTTGACTTTAGACCACAGACTATAACATTTTGAAAAAGCTGAAATCCGAGTGAAACATTGTGATCTACCCAAAATAGTCCCCCCCCCCGCCCCGCCCGCCACCCTCCAAATTTTGTTTCATGGGAAATTTTTGAATTGTTTTGTTTTTGTTCTGGAATGGGGGGAAAAAAATTCAAAATGGCAGGATTTCTCGTGAAACAGAAAGCACTTCCCGCACAGCTGTCTCTTACACTGAGTTGGCACTGGTGCAGGGTAAAGGAGAAGCAGACCCTTTATTTGAGAAGCCTCTTGATTTTTCACTCCCCCAGGCAAGAAGGCAGGCGTTTCAGACAAGGCGCACCCACTGTTTGGCATGTTCGTTTACCATATATAGTTAAAAGAACTTTAAACGGTTTAAAGGCAGCTGAGGAATAACAGCTATAAAGAGCGTTTTGTTCCAGGCTGTATGGATTTCAAGTGTCCACAGGAATGCGTACTTTTTTAAAACGAATTTTATTTAAAGTTTCATTATAAGTACCTCGCCCCTGGTTTCCATGGGTTCTTGGCTTGGGACACAAAACCATACAGGCCTGTGAAGGAAAGTTTACATTCTTCACCTTCAGTTTAAAACTGGCATCTTAAAGTCAGCAGCCCGGCTATTTTTGGAAGGTGAAATAGCCATGCTCTGTATGTGGAATTTACATTTTTTTTCCCGGCCGTTTACTAGTTCGGGCTGCCTCGTTCCCTTCTACATGTCACATACTCTGCAAGCTCCAGGAAGGCTTTGAATTGCTGCACATTGCGAATTTCCTGACTAGCATCATAACATCAAGAACCGGCTAGCATGCAGCTGCACCCCTGCCCTCTGGTGGGTGGAATCAGAACTGCTCCACTGTGGGTCATAGACCCGATACTGGTAGCTGCTAAAGGAAATTCACTCTGAGCTCACACTGTAGAAGCCTGGAGCAGTGGCTCTGAGTTCTATCACTCTGAAATTCCAAACAACCACCTGATGCAGCATGGTGACCTCTGTGAAGTCCTACGTTGCCATAGATTTGTTACAGTTAATCTCCATATAGAATAGACGTTCCTAGCCTCCCTTGCAGCACTGTGTACCATAAACAGCAGGTACATTGGAGCAATGCTACCCTTCAGCACAAACCCTCCTCTTCAGCCTTTTCCATCTCTTGTCCTGTTGCCTTTTGGACTAACATTTCTCATACCTGGCGTCAGCACAGGTGTGAACAATCCAGCCAACAGGCCTTTTTTTATTTATGTGGACATAAAAAAAACCTCCCAGATTTTCCGCCACTTGTTTGCAGACACTTCTTTTGCACTTGGGGGGAAGAAAAACAGTTTTTTTTTTTTTTTAACCCCTTCACCTGAGGGCTACTCACTCCAAGTAGCCCCTAAGGCCCAGATCCTCATAGGCATTTAGGTGCCTAACCCCCATTGAAATCAATAAGCGCTAGGCAGCTTCGGTCAGGTTGTTTCTAGGCTCTGGACAAGTCAGCACTAGGTCCGCAGTCAGGCGTAAGGAAACAAAAGGTCGATTCCCAAGCAGTCGCCCCCTTCAGGCAGGGCACCACTTGCAGCAGACTAACTCAGCAACAGGGGCAGGTCATTTACGGCTGACATAGATCCCAACATGGTCCCACAACTCTCCTGCCTTTCCCTAGGGAGGCTCTGGAAGGCTCAGCCGCTCTCCTCCCCAATCAGCCTTCATCTGAGCCGGGCTCTCCCCTCGCTCCAAGCCTGACGCCAGCCAGGTGTAGCAAGGCGGGGCCGACGGACCCCACAGCCGCCCGTGAAGCCAGTGTGGGTAAAGCACAATGCCTAATCCTCTTGCTACTCCATGAGTATCTGAAAACTCCATGAGAGCAGGGGACTGGACTAGATGACCTCTCAAGGTCCCTTCCAGTCCTATGATTCTTGTGGCTCTGGGCTTTACTGCTCAAAGCCGCCCCGACTAGAGTAACATGCAGAGCCGGCTACTACTCAGTAAGCAGGCTGCCAAGGCCTTCGTCCCACTGGCAAGTGGCTACTCGGACGTAGCCCCAAAATATTTCAGTGGGGGGGGGAATCGGATGATCACCAGCGAGAGGATTCGCAGGGTGGCCCTCCTGGGATACGGGCAGCAAGAGCCGGCCGTAAGGGTCCGGCTCCGATGGCCGTCCTCACGCTGAGTAACGCGTTGCTCCCTGGCTTTAGAAGGCCAATGCCTGGCTCATGGTGTGAGGCACTACGAGGCAATCAGAATCGGGTCCTCAGAGCCCACATGCGACCCATGTTCAGCGTGGCAGTAATCTCAGGGGATGGGAGCCCGAGCAATAGTTAACCCCAAGTCTTTAAGGCAAAACTGATGTGGTGGCTGTATTTGGTTTTAGTGGGTCAGGCAGCATGGGCCAAATCTACGGCTGGTGGAAACCGGCTCCATCAATACCTCCTGAGGCTCTGGCCCAGAAATTTCTCTGCATCCTAATGAAAATGTATCTACGTTCCTAGCAAAATTCTCACGCTGCTGGTTTTCTCTTTGCTCTGCGGTTTTGGACACACAAGGCGGAAACGTTGGGACTCTTTTCAGAAATGAGCCTTGCGCCCAGGGCCGGCGCAACCCATTCGGCGACCTAGGCGGTCGCCTAGGGCACTAACATTTGGGGGGCGGCGACCGCGGCGGCCGGATCTTCGGCTGCCCTGGTCGTCGTCGGCATTTTGGGGGCGGGACCTTCCGCCGCCTAGGGCGGCAAAAAAGCTGGCAGCACTCCTGCTTGCTCCTGATCAGAATTGAGCAGAACAAAGGGCCTGCTGGCGATGTCCGGCAGAGAAACCTTGAATATCCAAATGGAAAGGGTGGGTGACTGAGCACAGGTTGGAAAAATGCGGGGGGAGGGGTTAGAGAAGCAGGGATGTCCGCCTCCCCCAGGGCAATGCAATCGGACTTCAGCTAAGAGGAGAATTTGGATAGGTGAGGTGGTCTTCTGTTTGCACCCACGTTTCTTAATAAAACACAACAGGAATGAGCTCAAATCCGACCGCTACTTGGTGGTTCTCTAGCCCGTTGTCGCACAGGTACGGTCAGAGCTATGGCACAATGCCTGCTCACACCAAGACAAACGGACTGTGGCTTCCAACACTTCTGAGCTCAGCACGGGCACGTGAAGGTGTGACGGCAGTACGGCTCGGCACGCCCCGGGTCGTTTTGGTCTAGCCAGCGTGAGTCACAATAGCAGTGTAGAAAAGGGTGAGATGGACTTCGGCATGGGCTGGCAACCCAGATAGGCACCCCGGGACTCTGGCAGGCTAGTACTGGGGTGGCTAGCCTGGGCCACCAGATGTTAAGGGGGCCACTGATGCATCCCCAGAAATACCAGACGTTTCAGTACTTCTGGGAATGGCGTGGGGCCGACCTCAGCTGTGTGACGCTGCCCCTTTGGCATGACCCTGCGGATGCCATGTTGAAGAGCACCCCAGTCGGGCACTGGAACGGGGGAGGGCAGGGACCACGTTTTGCCACGGGCCCTGTCCCTGCCCCTCCTCTTCCCCCGAGGCCCCGCCCCCTGGCCAGACCGGCAACAGGAGCCTGGGCAGCTGTGGGGAGCCGCGGACCCTCCACCTGCCCTGGGCGGAGGGCTTGGGGAGGGGGTGGGAACAAGGGTCAGGGGCTGCTCTCAAGCCCCCTGTACCCTGGGTAAGTGGAGGGGCCCAGGCTCCCCAGCCCGGCTTCTGGCTTGGCCAGGGGTGGGGTCTCGGTGATAAGAGGAGGGGCAGAGGCGGTGCCACGGAGGGGGTAGGGGTCCCTGCCCCCCCACTTTGGGGGAGGCTTCACTGCCCCTGACCCCAGTCCCACCGGCAGGGGCAGAGGGGCGCACTCTTCAACATGGTGTCCTCTGTGTCTGATACTGGACAAACCCATGTCTGGTTTTATCCCAGTGCTGGACAGAGGCCCAACCACAGAAAAACAGCACAGCCCAGCTTAAAATCGGACAAATGGCCCGCCTGCCACATCTACCCTGCGATGGTTACCCACGCCAGCTAGAGTAACGCTAGCTCAGGTGTGCCTACGCCTGCATTGACTGTGTAGACATACCCTTGAGAAGAGAGAAGGTGGGTGGATGGGGAAACACGGACGGTGAGCCTTAGAGGTGTCATCACTGGGCGACTCGTTAATCAGCATCGTCAACAACCACTTTCAAAGTAAAGGACAACACAGAGACCTAACCAAAAAGACCCGGTTGTGTGCCTGGGCCGCTGGCATCAGACCAGATCAAAATCGAACACGCTAACGCTGGCTATCGGCGCGCGCCAGAAATTGAAGCTGTTGAACTGCAGGAGAGTGTCCTCTTCCTCGGAGATGTCCTGCCTGAGCTGCTTCCAGGCCCCGGACCGCTTGCCCACACCTCCTTTGGCTTTGTAGAGCGCCGCGTCGGTCAACCCCAGCCCCTCCAGCTCCGCCAGGTCGAGCTCCGGGATGGGCATCCTCCAATAGAGGAAGGAGTTGTACTGGCTGTTCGCCGTGTCCAGCATCTCCGCCTAGAAGGAAGAGGACGGAAAAGTCTTTTGAAGACGCAGGTTACTGCACAGTCCTAGCCACTCGGGCTAAGGAATGATCTAAAACGTTACTGCCTCATGATTACCCAGGCCCTGAACCTGTGAACAGGCCCATGGAGAGAAATTTGGGGCCCCAATACGTCATCCGCTGGGGCCTCCCCTCAGCCCATTTCACCACAGTTAGACTTTGGGGGTACAATGGTCCCTTCCCCCATCAATGCTGCCGGCGAAGAATATTGCTGTGTGGGCAGGTGGAGAAGGCAGCAGGCCTTAGCCAGGAACACTGGGTTCTAGTCCTGGCTCTGTCCCAGCGCCCTTCTCTGTGCCCTAGGGCAGGTCACTTCGGCCCAGGCTGTCAGGCACCTTTGAAGATCTGGGCCTCAGCTCCCCATCTGTAAATTAGTCCTGGCACCTTCCTCTGTCTGGTCTAGGGAGATCGTAAGGTCTCTAGGGCAGGGATTGTCTCTTACTTTGTGTCTGTGTAGCATCACGGGGGCCCTAGGTGGTACCACCGCCTACACCTCCTAATGAGGAAATTATGGGATGGAAACATTCCACAAATCTTGGGACAGGTCCCAGCCCCCGAGCCCTTCCGGATCTTCCCCTCCCCAGGCTGCCAAGGCCTCCTATCCCAGCACCCACATGTTGCACCTCAGCGGCCATTTTGTCCTGTTTTGATAAAGGATCAAAAGCAGCTTGTTGAAGCAGTGCTGCCTAGTGCACTGGCTTGGGACTCAGCAGTGGTGGGTTCTAGTCTTAGCATTGCCACTGGCCTCCTGGCGACCTCAGGCATGTCACCTAACTGCTCCGGGCCTCAGTTTCCCCATCTATAAAATGGAGGTGACACGACTGACCTTCTTTGTAAAGTGCCTTAAGAGCTGCTGATGAAAAGTGCCAGGTAAGAGCTAGGGCCTAGCTACTCAAAGGTATTTATGCCTAACTCCCTTTCAGGATCTGGGCTTATGATTGGCTTCGCTATAGCATTTACCTTGGATATGTAGATACAGACGTTCTCGGAAGGAGCCACCCTAATGTTTGCATGGTAGGAAACTAATCATGTGGGGCGTGGAAATAAAATCCCCTGTGGTTTGTTTCTAGTGCTGAAAATTTGCGGGTGACCGGGAACACGAACAGAACTAAGTGCGGACAATGGGAATAAAACAGGAACAGAAATAGAATTAGGGTTAGTAGGATTCATGATAAGGACGCACAACAAATTCTTGCTATCCTTTGACTATAACTCTCCGGATAGAATATTATATATATATTAAAGTGAGTGAGAGAGTGTGTGTGTGTGTGTGTGTGTACATGCACACCTACGCCTGTGGGGGAGACAGTGTTGCCTAGTGGGTAGCACGCTGGCTTGGGACTCAGAAGATCTGGGCTCTGTTCCTGTCTTGTCCACTGGCCAGCTGTGCCTCAGTTTCCCCATCTATACAATGGGATAATGGCCCATTTCCTCAAAGGTATATTGACCTCCATTGTAAAGCACTTTGAGCTCTTCTGATGAGAAGAGTCTAAGAGGCATTGCCACGGTATGTGTGCGTATATCTGTGTGGGCATGCGTGTGTATCTGTGGGGAGGGGGTGTGTATGCATACCCTAACCCCACACACGCCCACAAAGACAAAGGACTTCGTCCTCTTTCCACCACGCCCCTGCTCAAAACAGGAGTCACTCCACTGACATCAGTCCAGCCCCCTCCCCGCCAGATGTGAGAGCAGAATCAGGACCCAATCATGTCCAATTGGCTGTAACAGAGCTCTGCTTTGGGGTTTCTAGGCCCCCCCATCACACACCTGAGACGCCTCTCCCACCTCCCGCTGCACGGCACATCCCAAACCGCGACATCCATTGTGTGCCGAGCCAGACGGTTCCTGCAATGGCCCCACCCAGACGGATGTGCTGCAGAGCCCCTCCCCCGCTCTTGCTCTTCACTTTGATACCACCTTAATATACAATTCTCCCCACTCCCCAAAGACCTGTCCTACCCTAGTCCAAGTGAATCCAACCCTTAATGTGGGTTTCCCTGGCAGAACTCTGTCCTTTGGTCCTCGCTGTCTTTGATTTTACAGTCAATCAGTCTATATACCTAGATTTCCCTCGCTTTCCACTGACGGTTTCTTACGAGGCTTGATTCCAATGGGTTTCCGACCTCCCCTGCAACTGGGCGCTCACATTCCCATCAAATTACACAGGGACTAGTTTGCTTCTAAATTTAAAAAAATCCAAAGACTGTGTGTCATCCCCTTCCATAAAATGAACAACTGTGTTTTTTTTAAATAGCACTCTGCTCACGGGTATATTTCCGGCTCTCTTTTCGCAAGAGGACAGCAGATTATTAACATTAGCTCCGTGATGCGGTTCGCACCGGGCAATCTGCTTGATTTAGAAACGCACTCAACGACGCCAGCCTCTAAGCCGTGATGAGGGAGGGTAATTATACATATTAAAAAAAGAGGCAGATATTAAAAAAGGCAATTTACACTTCGGAGAGTCCTCTGCGTTGCCTGTCGTCCTCAGGGCTAAAGAGAAGCGCGTCACCTTTATTAATGGAATCATGTTAACGGGCAATCAGCCAGGTGCGATGGGGGACTGGAGCCTTTATTCCACTGCAGTGAAAGCCTAGTGCTAAACTGATCCTATACGTTCCATTTCTTCTCCTTCCCTGTACCAGGGGGCAGCCGTGTTAGTCTGTATCCACAGAAACAAGGAGGAGTCCGGTGGCACCTTAAAGACTAACAGATTTATTTGGGCATAAGCTTTTGTGGGTAAAACCCCCCACTTCTTCAGATGCATGGAAAGCCTCTGAGGGCTGACACACCAGCAATCCAAGCCTCAGCAACCCCCCCCCCCGAAGCAACTCAGCTTTCGTTTTAAGGAATAGTGATGCTTTTTTACCTGTTTTAAGGAAGGGTTGGATCTGGTGGCTGCTAACCCAGCTGACAGGGTCTTCTTTGTGCCGCAAGCGTCTTCTGCTGCAGCTGGGCGTCAGGCAGGCTTGCAGAATTTTCTGCCTTGCTTTTGTCTGGGTGTGAGTGTGCGCGCGTGTCTGTCTGTCTCCGCAATGCAGCCTCTCCTAAATAGGCAGATTAATTACCCCTCCTCCCAGGGCTGGTGGGCCGATGATTCAGCTGTATGAACGCTCTGCTAGTTAAGTGGCTCACCCAGGCTTTATTATAGTCGGGGTGGGGAGCGGGCTTGAAAGCAGAAGCCATTTGACTTCATCCGCACACTTGATCTTAGTTGCAGGTTCTATAATGTTAGGGAAAACCTACGACAAGAGGATTTTAAAATAGAACAATCTTGTGATACACGGGCATGAAATGGGAGGGACCATCTTCTGCATGCTAATAGGTGTGGGCTGAGGAGCGCCATACTTTTCCTCTCTACCTGCTCACAACTGCAAGCAACGTTCATTTGAAAATGGTAGGATCCGGAGGCTCTTTGGTGAAACCGAACGGGCGTTCCTTGATACAAAGCGATCTGGATCGCTCGGTCAGCTGGGCGCAAGCAGACGCTATCCGCTTTAATAGGGCGACGTGTATACATCTATGAACAAAGAAGGCCGGCCGTACTTGCAGGACGGGGGACTCTTTCCTGGGAAGCAGTGATTGGAAAAAGATTTGGGGGCCATGGGGGGGTGCTCAGCTGACCATGAGCTCCCAGTGCGACACTGTGGCCAAAAGGGTTAATGGATCCTGGGAGGCATAACCAGGGGGATCTCAGGTGGGAGCAGAGAAGTTATTTTACCTCCGTATCTGGCACTGGCAGGGGTGAAAGTAAACCGGTATGGGCCGGTACGGCATACCGGTAAAAATTGGCCACTGGTACCAGCCCATACCCAGCTGTGCCTTTTGCCCCCCCCCGGTCACCAACGGTGGGGGAGGGAGGAAGGAGCAGCTGCCCCGGGCCAGCGATTTAAAAGGGTCCGGGGCTCCGGCCGGCCCCGGGTCCTTTAAATCGCCGCTGGCGCCGGCCAGGCAGCACACAGATGGGCTGGCTGGGGGATGCTGAACCCCCAGCCCCGCCCCTTCCACCCGAGGCCCCGTCCCTTCCCGGGACCGGAGTCGGTCCCCGTACCGGTAAGTCTTCCCCGTTACTTTCACCCCTGGGCACTGGTGCCACCGCTGCTGAAATCCTGCATCCAGTTCTGGTGCCAACAGGTCAAGGAGGATGTTGATAAACTGGAGAGGGGTCAAAGAAGAGCCACGGGAATGATTCATTAGAAAACCTGCCTTACAATGATAGACTCCAGGAGCTCCGTCTATTTAGCTTAACAAAGAGAAGGTTAAGGGGGGACTTGATCACGGTCTATAAGTACCTACATGGGGAACAAATATTTAATAGGGGCTCTTCAGTCTTGCAGAGAAAGGGAGCCCACACTCCAACGGCTGGAAGTTGAAGCCAGACGCATTCCGATTGGAAATAAGGCGCACGTTTTTAACAGGGAGAGCAATTAACCCCCGGAACAATTAACCTCCCGAGGCTCGTGGTGGAGTCTCCGTCACTGACCAGTTTTAAATCAAGACAGGGTGTTTTGGTAAAAGCTCTGCTCTGGGAAGGGTGTCGGGGCAGGTCTCGTAGAGGAGCTGGGGACATTTTGCAAATAAACAAATGACACTAAACAAATACCTGAGACTGCACCCGAGTTCTGCTCCAGAGGGGAAACTGACCTGTGAATCCTTTAGAACCTGCTCTTGCTCCGCAAGGGAGGAATTAATTAATTCAAGACACCGTTTGAAAAGACCCCATACCAAATAAGGCTGTATTGTTCCGGCTTCCTAGCAAATTCCCGAGGATATAAAATCCGCCTCTACTATCCTAGACCTTATATTTTTGGCATAGGATTAGAATTCTCTTCTGGGACCTCCGCTGGAGTGGTTTTCCTGTTGCTGTGTGCACATAATTCCCATCAAAGCCAAGCTCCCTTTGCGTTAGGTTTTCAGACTGTCTATTTGTGTCTCCTTGTTTTTGCTTTCAGATCCACTTATCTCAGCGCCTGGGCCATTAGCGTAGCAGTGAGGATCCGCTCTCTCTCCCTCAATAGACCCACGTTTAGTTCCGTCATGTTAGCCCAGCTGGGGTTGGGGTGGAGGAGGGGGCTGCACAACCTAGCAGGTGTGAGAACTCTGCTGCCGAAACTGGTGACATTTTTCTCTCTGGTGTTTTCCGAGGAGGTCGAGTAGCTTTGTTTTCCTTTGCTTTTCTGCTGATGGATGCCGAATGACAGACCCTATGGGAAACTGATCCGGAGCACACAGATTCGATGGGATAAACCAAGGAGGAGGAAAATCCAGAGCTGCATCTAGTCCTTCCAACCAGACTCTTAGCTAGGGGCCAAGTGGGCAGCTAGGGTTGTCGGTAGGGTGACCAGACAGCAAATGTGAAAAATCAGGACGGGGGTGGGGGGTAATAGGAGCCTATATAAGAAAAAGACCCCACAATCAGGACTGTCCCTATAAAATCGGGACATCTGGTCACCCTAGTTGTCGGCAGATTCCCTCGTGGATTCATAGCCAGAAGGGACCATTAAATAATCTACTCTGACTTCCGGCATATCACAGGCAATTAAATGTCACCAAGTTACCCCTCCAGCCAGGGGCGTGGGCACAGGGGACCACGGCCCCATCACTTGGGGGGAAGAGGCAGCGCAGGGACAGGGCCTTGCATGGAGTGGGTGGAGTGAGGGCTGGGCCGCGGGGAGAAGGACGGCATGGGGCGTGGCCTCTGGGAAAGGGGCGTGGCCTTGGGGCAGCAGGGGGCGGGGCCAGGGTTCAGGTGCTGGTGGCCCCCCCCTACTTTTAGGGAGCTTCCGCCGGTCCTCAAGCACATCACTGGATGTTGCCATGGAATGACTGTTGCCTCCATGGCAGTGGCAAGGCCCATACTACTTTCTGTTCAGCTGACCCAATCCACTTGGGTCCATATCCCTGGGGAGAGCAGGAGACACCCACTGCTTCCTGCTCTCAAAGGGGTGCATAACAGGAAACAGGGCTGTCTACCCGTGGCAGTCCTGGCTACCTCTGGCAGTCGCCCAGTGCTAGGTGTGTGCGCACTGTGGAGGTGCCATGCTGCGGCGGCAGCGTTCCCCAATACAAAGGGCACAGGATGGAGACCTGCGTGCTATTCTTGTCCCTGTAACTGGCCTGCTGGGTAGGGTGACCAGATGTCCCGATTTTATAGGGACAGTCCCGATTTTTGGGGCTTAGGCTCTTATTACCCCCCACCCTCTGTCCCGATTTTTCACATTTGCTGTCTGGTCACCCTACTGCTGGGTGACCTTTGGCAAGTCACTACGCTGCCCGGTGCCTCAGTTTCCCCATCGGTAAAATGGGGATTATTCTAACCTCCTTTGTAAAGCACTTTGAACTCAACTGATGAGTGCTAGATAAGAGGTAGGGATTATTGTCACTGCAGATAGTCCCGCCCACTCCCAGCGCACTAGGTCTCTCTTTGCTGGTGCACCGCACAAGTACACACACACGGCCTGATGAGCTTCTTGGAGGGACTCGATGCATTCGGACATGGGAGGCAAAGCCTTTTGACAAGTGTCAAAAATCCTTTGGGCAGGAGCGGCACCAGGGTTTTTGGCACCCTAGGCGGGGGTCCTTCCGCGCTCCCGGTCGTCGTCGGCAATTCTGCGGCGGGGGGGTCCTTCCGCGCTCCCGGTCTTCGGGGCACTTCGGGGGCGGGTCCCGGAGCGAGTGAAGGACCCGCCGCAGAATTGCCGCCGAACCGGAGCGTGGAAGGACCCCCTGCTGCCGAATTGCCTCCAAGAGCAGCAAAATGTCACCCCCCCAAATCCTGGTGCACTAGGCGACCGCCTAGGTCGCCTAAATGGAAGCGCCGGCCCTGCCTTTGGGTGCTCTCCATCTAACACGGCCCGCTGGAGCATCCCTCTCCGTGAGCACGTCTTTATTCATCCGCAGCACGGGCGTCCTGGGTTCTGCTCAGACAGCTGAACCCACGCAGGTCTCGCCAGACGAGGCACGTCGCGACAGACGGCGCAACATACCGAAGTCAAGATCGAGCCTGGAACGACCTCCAATCCCTACACCTCTGTTGTCTGAAACAGGGCTGCAGCGCCCCATGTCTATAAATGACGTGGCCTCACGTTATGCAATTGGCTTGTAAGCCGGCCTCTCCACTGAGCTCAGAAGGGAGTTCCCATGAGAGGCACCATTTGCCTGGTTTGCCAAACTAATGAGAGTTGGGAACAAAGCGTGCTCAGTGGGGGTATGTGGAATGACTTTCTGGAGATCAGGAGAATCCAGAGTCTAGCTACTCTAGGAATTACTGCAAAACCTTCCTCCTCGACAAAACTTTCCCCACTCCTATCAGAATGACATCTGCATGGGGTGACATTTCTGAAAGCACTTAAGAGACTTAGCAGCCTAAGGCCTGGTCTGCACACAGTGTCTGTCCTGGTGTAGAATCATAGAATCGTAGGACTGGAAGGGACCTCGAGAGGTCCTCTAGTCCAGTCCCCTGCACTCAAGGCAGGACTAAGTATTATCTAGACCGGGGGGGGGGGGGGGGGGGCGCAACCTGAGCCTGAGAAGGAGCCAGAATTTACCACGGCACATTGACAAAGAGCCACAGTAATACGTCAGCAGCCCCCCCATCAGTTCCGCCCCCAGCTCGCTCCCAGCGCCTCCCACCCACCGGCAGCCCCACTGATCAGCGCCTCCCGCTCTCTCCCCACCTCCCAATCAGCTGTTTTGTGGCGTGTAGGAAGCGAGGGCACGGCAGCTCAGGGGAGGGGGTGGGAAGGGTGGAGTGGGGGCAGGGCCTATGGCAGAGCCAGGGGGTTGAGCAGTGAGCACCCCCGGCACATTGGAAAGTTGGCACCTGTAGCTCCAGTCCTGGAGTTGGTGCCAATATAAAGGAGCCGCATATTAACTTCTGAAGAGCCGCATGTGGCTCTGGAGCCATGGGTTGGCCACCCCTGATCTAGACCATCCCTGACAGGGGTTTGTCTAACCTGCTCTTAAAAATCTCCAATGAGGGAGATTCCACAACCTCCCTAG